GGAGGATTGAGAGGAACTTAAAGGTTCTGAAATATAAGTTGGACCAAAGCCAACTTTGATAATGTAGTCATTGAGTAACAGTGACTAGCAACTTTTACACTGGCTAGCCATAGTGTGATAAACTATTTGTGGTCTACTCTTGTGGTGTTTCTGTGGAGCAGAGTGACCACTGTGAGGCCACTGACTAATGGGATGTGCCATGCATGGCTCTACTTTATTTGTTTTCCTACTTCCTAAGCTCATTAGCCAATCTGAGAGATACTCCATTTCTCTTAGGAAAATACCTTACTACACCACAATGTCAAGATTTCTGGCTAAGACATTCAAGGTGACACTTGAAAAGATATGTTCTAGGGGTTGGGCTCCTTATTCTAAACCCTCTGTATATAATGAAAGCTTCCAGATACTCTCAAATTACACTTGAGACATTATTAGTAACTAGAGGCCCAATGCACAGATTCATGCACTGGTGGGGGTGTGTGGCCTGTGGGATGGGCCCATTGTGGGAGCACTGCTCATCCTAGTCAGCTGAGTGGCTATTTCTGCTGTGGGAGCAGCCGCTCAACCCCGTCAGCCAAGTGGCTGTGGACCTGCACTCTGAGCAGTGCTCACACTGTGGGGAAGTGCGCTGACCTCCAGGGGGCAGCTCTTGTGTTGAGCATCTGCCCCATGGTGGTCAAGTGTGCATCATAGTGACTGGTCAACCGGTTGTTCTGGTCTTTCCAGTGTTTGATCGCTGGGCTTTTATATGTATAGGTTATTAAACTTGGGGGAAAAGTGACTACAGGAAAGAGTCAATAATACAACAATTAGGAAGAACAAGGGCAGAACAAAAGACTTCTTCCTTTACATCTTAGATTACCTATGTCACAATTTCCAAATCCAGGGACAACAGAGGGGCCTGCCCAGTTGTATAGCATAAGTGTCTACATACCAAGGAGATGGATACAACATAATTGCAGTCATGAACATATTCCCCACAAGCTAGTCAAAATAGCTCAGAAGTTCATACCAGCTCTACTCATTAAATCCTTATTTTGGAATCTTATGATTTCTTTTTCCTTTTAACCCTATCTTTGAGTAGAGAGATGATTATTATTTGAAATTAAAAGTAAAAGCAATGACCTAGCAATAAAACTTCAGAATTATCACACAACAAGATTTAAGGTTTAACATCTACCTCATTAAAACCTATTTTGTTTATCAAATGGCAAGATTTAAGGTTTAACATCGATGTCTACTGCTTATTCTAATTGACATTCAATTGTGACATGTTTAGATATACATTGATGTATATACAAAAGTAACAAATGGATGTTGTCTATTGCTGTTCATTCTCTGTCCTTCCCCTCCCTCATCCCCTCCACACCTCTTGGTATAACTTTTTAAATTCAACCCACAGATCAAATTTTATTGATTTTCCTTGATGTATCTTCAGTATCATAGCACTTGACATAAGGTAGATATTCAAGGAATGTATGTAAATATAATGAAATTTATCAAAGTTAATCACTTTACCAGGTCAAAGCTCTTAAAATCATCTCCTATTCTAAACAATCTAAACAGGCTTTCCTCTTAGGCTAAATAGAGACTTTTCAAAAGAACATACAGAAGGCGCAGGGACATATGAAAACATGCTCAAAGTTGCTAATCATCTGAGAGATGCAAATCAAAACAACAATGAGGTATCATCTTAAACCTGTCAGAATGGCTATCATCAACAAATAAACTAATGACAAGTCCTGGAGAGGATGCAGAGAAAAAGGAGTCCTCTTGAATTGCTGATGGGAATGCGGACTGGTGCAGCCACTATGGAGAACAGTATGGTGTTTCCTAAAAAAAAATTAAAAATGGAGCTCCCATTTGACCCAGTAATCCCACTTCTAGGCATATATCCTAAGAAAACATAAACACCAATCTGAAAGGATACATGCACCCCTATGTTCACAGAAGCACAATTTACAATAGCTAAGATTCGGAAACAGCTCAAGTGCCCATCAGCAGATGAGTGGATTAAAAAACTGTGGTACATATAGACAACAGAATACTATGCTGCTGTAAAAAGAAGGAGTTCTTACCATTTGCAACAGCATGGATGGAACTGGAGAGCATTATGCTAAGTGAAATAAGCCAGTTGGAGAAAGATAAATATCATAGGATCTCACTCATTTGTGGAATATAATGAACAACATAAACTGATGAACAAAGATAGAACCAGAGACACAGAAGCATCGAACAGACTGTCCAACCTATGAGGGAAGGCATGGGGGGAGGGAGATTAAAGGGGGAGGAAATAAGAGACCAACCAAAGCATTTGTATGCATGCATATAAGGAAACCAATGGACACAGAAGGGTGTGTGTGTGAGGATATGTACTGGGGGTTGGAAATGACCGGGGAGAGGTCAATAGGGAAAAAAGGAGACTTATGTAATACTTTAAACAATAAAGAATTTAAGTTAAAAATAAATACATAAATAAATAAATAAAAAACACATACTTAATCAAATATTTTACAAATTATAAGATGCATAATTATTTTATGTAACACTCAAAGAGGAAAAGTAAAATGCTGCCAATTAAACTTAAATACATTAATTTTAAGATGCATCCTGAATTCATAGATTTTAAAATGTGAAAAATATACATCACAAAGTCAATGGAAAACCATTGTTCCAGCCTTCACTGGGAGAAGATAATAAAAAAAATAGCATATAAATATATATGTAATTATAAATAAAATATAATTATAAATTTTAGTAAGTGCCATAAAAAATAAACTAAGGTATAGGCTTCCCTTGAAAGACAAACAAACAAAAAAAGAAAACCTAACAACAACAAAAAATAAACTGGGTTTTAAATTGTGATCATTTCAAATGAACAGACATTTGTGGAGGCTTTCAGCTCAAGAGTCTGCCAAACTGGACTGTCATTTATTTACTAAAATAAGTGGAAACTTTGATGCACTGTATAAAATATGTAATGCAGATTAAATTAACTTTCTGAAATGTGAGGCCATAATCTAATTTCTGTCCAGTGACAAGGCCCAGGAGAACCTGAGAAATTTCAACCAATCAGCAATGCCTGATCACGTGATGCTCACAAGCAAATATTTGTCTTCCATCAAATCTCAGAATGCAATAACTGACTTGAGCAGTAGTTGAGTCTTAAGTTCTCTACCATTTGTAAACATTTTTATGAGTAAAACCTTACTTTCATTGTTTGTCACTCATTTTTTCCTCAGTTGACTCAATGATTTAAGTCAAGTTTCAAAAATAAGACAGGAAATAGACACATATACAGCTTTCCCCCAACACCTCTGGATTTAGTGGACAAAAAGTTTCAAGGCTACTTTTACCTTAGTTTAAAAGGTAAATTAAATTTACAAGTTTTGCAAAAGGGCAAAATAACCCTGGTGTCTCTGCCCCCTTTCCCCCCACCCCAGTATTATTATTCTGTTTCTGATGAGATATAAAGAAAGGCATTTGCTAATGGAAATATAGCATTGATTTGAAGGTGAGACCATTTTTTTTTTTCACGAGAGCAATAAAGAATAATATGACCATAAAGAAATGTACTAATGGGGCAATAAGGACACATATGTAATACCTTAATCAATAAAGAAAAAAAAAAAGAAATGTACTGAAGTCAAAACTCAAGGTTTCATAAGAAAACAGCGATGGAGATTTTCCTTGCATACACAAGAGTCTCCTGAAAAGACAAGGCAACTGGAGTCACCGGAACCAGAACTTATGGGTCAAAGAGAAAGAGGAGACACATGTGTATTGTCATGGAGGCCCCTGGGGCAGAAGTGTGGAGTGCCAGCTGCCAGGTGACAGCTGATGCCAGCTCCTGGACATTACACCTAGGACTTCAGTCCCTGCTGTCTGCTGAAAAGCTCCGCTGTGTCACCATCAGATTCTGCCTGTCCCTGGCCTCCTTGCTAAGATCCATGGAGTGATCTGTGTCCTCTGCTCTGGACTTGTGCCATTCTGGACTCTTTTCTTTTGTGGGCCGAACGCAACATGTTTCTAAAAGCCCTCATTGCTTCCTGATTTTCTGGTGGTGGGGCGGGGGGGGGGGGGGGATGCCAATAGAAGCGGAATAAGAATGGGTGGAAGTATGGTAAAGGGCACTGGGCCTGCTTGTAATCACAGGTGCCTTGTTAGGACTGATTTATGTTTGGCCAACTTGGAAAATATTTTTACCAAAACAATCCAGACCTAATTCATAGAGCTGTGTAGTCTTTCACCCTCAATCCGATTTAAACTCCTAACATGATTTAAGCTCTGAAAAGCACACGTTGCCTAAGGCAAGCATTTAAAGTGAGAGTCAAGTTCGCAGTCTTTTTACAAAGTATACTTTCTCACCCCCTGTCACTTCTCTAGTTACCCAATCTTTTCCAACCTGTCTGGACCTTCTGTGACTCGGACATAAATCAGGAGAAATGTGGTTGGAAATGGGTTCCCTTTCTTCAAAGCAACTTGTACCCACCTCACTGGAGCATTAGAAATCCGTAATGGCACACATGGTTTCCATTATGCCAAGGGAAAACCTGCCTTCGCTGCTCCAAACTGTCTCTCCGGTGTATGAGATCACAGTCCAAGTTGATTTTTTCCCCCCAATAAATAAATAGGAAGAATTCCTTGGGTTAAATAAAGTCAGGAAGGGGTCTTCTAGGACCTGAGATCTCGTTGCGTTTGCTGATAGACACGCAGAGAAGAGGCTGACGGGCGGTGGCTTGGCACGGTCTCTGATATGAAGTTTCTGGACTTTAAATGCCACTGTCCTCTGGGGATTTCAGAACTCCTCTGAGGCCGTTCCCAGCCTGAGCCAGATGATCACAAAGGCCTGGGAACAAACATCAGACACGCAGCCTAGAGGCAACAGCAATGTGTTCACAGCTTTTTTCCTTCTTCTGTTTTTCTTTTTTATTACTCTCTCCCTCTTTCTCCTCCCTGCCCTCTCTTCCACTCCCTCTTCTTTCCTTCCTTCTTTTTTCCCTCCTTTCTACACTTCCTCCTTCCTTCCTTCTTTCCTTCTTCATACCTTTATTATTATTTTTTAAATATATTTTATTGATTTTTTTTTTTTTTTTTTTTTACAGAGAGCAAGAAAGAGGGATAGAGAGTTAGAAACATTGATGAGAGAGAATCATTGATCAGCTGCCTCTTGTACACCCCCTACTGGGGATGTGTGCGCAACCAAGGTACATGCCCTTGACCGGAATCGAACCCAGGACCTTTCAGTCCCCAGGCTGACGTTCTATCCACTGAGCTAAACCGGTTTCAGCAGTATACCTTTATTATTGATGTCTGTACTTTATCTTTGAGTTTTATGGTGTATTTCTCAACATGCTGGACAGGTACAAAAGGTTAAAAATTGATAAATATTTCCCAAATGCCCTTTTCTAGTTCCCTCATTTATTTTATAAGATTATTATTATTTTTACTCTGCTACTGCTTTCATCAGTAGGGAATAGCATTGAAGTTCATAGACAAGTGGGTTAACTGCCGTAATAAATAGACCTTTATGTGCCATTGGGAGACCAAGAACCTCCAAGAAAACATTTATCAAAGTTCCTCCCAGTTTATACATGCATACACCCTGCCCTGCAAAAAGTATTGAAAAAATAGATAAGAACTAATGTTTATTGTGTACTGAATATTCATTAATTCATTTAATAAGCATTAACTGAGCACCGACTCTGTGCTAAGAACTCTCCTAGGTGCCACAGATAAAGCAGGGAACACATGAGACGAAGCTCTGACTTACTTGATGGTATAAGGGACGAGGCACTTTGTACACAGGACTTCATTTGATGTTCCCAAGAACTCTGTAAGCTGTATATTACGATTCCCACTTTCCACATGAGAAAAATGAAACGACAGAGAGGTTAAATGATCACAGTTCCTCAGGGAAAGAGTCTGGATCTCCACACAAATTTATCTGATTCCAAAGCCTTTCTACTTTCTGCTGTCCGCATGGCCGCAGAGGCTAATGAAATCATGAGAGATATTGGAGGGTGAGGCCCACTAGGCAGAGTGCCAGTTGAGAGGGATCCAGATGAGAGACCTGGCAAAGCCTGGAGCAGCCCCTGAGAGTTGCATGGAGGCATCCAGGCTGAAGGATACAAAGACAGAGTTTAGACAAAGAAGGGAGGGAAAACGGAGCATAAAGGGGCAGAGGCACATGTGAGTTAGACAATGAGTAGAGACAGCTTAAAGGGGGGAAAAATATTCTCATAGGAGAAAATCAGGAGACAGAGCCAATGAGACGGGAGGTCTGGGGCAATCGCGGTGTGCCAGGAAAGCCGGACTTCGCACTGCAACCTGGGACGGTAGAGACTGTGGGTGGTTGGGCATAGATGTGACAGCCAATGTCCTCTCCTCCTACTCTATTATTGCTAAAAAAAAATTTTAACTCTTCAAACTTATCTTTTCCTTATCAGTGAAATAGAGGATAATCATCAACATGTTTTTGGTTGATTTCAAGAATGACCAATATTGGGCTGAAACTGGTTTGGCTCAGTGGATAGAGTGTTGGCCTGCAGACTGAAAGGTCCCTGGTTCGATTCTGGTCAAGGGCATGTACATGGGTTGTAGGCACATCCCCAGTAGGGGGTGTACAAGAGGCAGCTGATCAATGATTCTCCCTCATCGATGTTTCTAACTCTCTATCCCTCTCTCTTCCTCTCTGTAAAAAAATCAATAAAATATATTAAAAAAAAAAAAAAAAAAAAGAATGACCAACATTGGTAAACTGTTGTACAAAAGGATTAGCTTTTGATTAGAATTCCACCCTCGGTATATATGTTTTAATACCCACTCAGATTCTTCTTTGGGCAGGTTTGGTGCTCACACAACTGGATAGATACATGAGTATTTGGCCAATAAAACTGGTTGAAGAATGTGAGAAATTTATCTACTGCATGAAGTCATTGTTTCATATTTGTCTGAAGCTCCCAGCGGACGCCGCACACCAGATTTTTGTTCCCCTCTGCTTTCCACATTGCTCTTTCCCATGAGGAGATTCTTTTGATATCAGCATGGGGTCTATGGAATTCTTTGGGGGTGAAAGGTGTCTTTTCTATTATAGAAACTTTTTATTTAACCAGTTCACTTCCATGTGAAAACTGCTCTTGGGGCAATAAAATTAGAAGAGGCATACCAGATTCGTTTTTTAATTTTCCTCTAGTCGGGTGAAGTTGCTGAGCAAATTTGTTGAGCAGCTGGAATTGTTAAGGTCACACTAACATTGAAATAAGAAGGTCCTGACACCAAGATATCCAGAGATCTGAATAATTCTGGGCTGTCTCCAATTTTAAAATCCATTTCTCCAGGCTGTTCCTTTCTTCTTTCCTTTCTCCCACACTGGTTTCTGGCTTTTCCCCTTTTACTAATGAACCCAGTGCTCTGTGAATTTTTAAGTTTTGCTTGCTGTAATGGAAACAGTTCCTATGGTATAACCTTTAGGTCAGTTCTATCAAGTATTATTTGCTCAGTCTGTTCAGAAAAAAAAAAAAAGAATAAAATCACTTTCTTCGGCCCAGATCTTGTGTAATTGCATGAATTCTCTGATTTAGCTGGCTCAGCAAACCTATCCCAAGGTGATTGGTCTCAGAGATGGAAGGGAATTCATTATGCATTCCTTGCTCAAATGGTGACCTGCATATAATGATGGGAACATCAACCTTGGTCACCCTGTTTTCCCTTTAGTCTCCTTCTGACTTCAGACTCACTAGTTTCTGGCTGCATAGCCCGAGGATATAGTGGAGCCTGACCAAGGGTTGCCTGAGACCTGGATTTTCACACCATGAAGCTGGTAACAGTTTTGACTTCAATGCCTTGAAAAGTAGGTGATTTCAATTGCCCTGTTTCCTTTCAGGGAAAATGCTTTCTTTGCACCTAAACAATCTTCCGGTGCTTTTGACTGACAAGCATATTGTTATGATTATGACCGGACTTCTTGACTCCTGCAGGGATAGCATTTAAAACTGCCCTGAGACTGGCACAAATCAAAATATTCATCAACTTAAACTATGTCAGCTAAAATGGAAAAGCCAAAATTGTAGTGTTTTATATCATGTCAGAAGTCCATGAACACAGCGCAACACTGCTTAACCCTTTCCCTGCCTAAAGAAAAGTGTTGCATAGAATAGAAAGTCTGGATATTTTTTCAAAACTACCTACCATCCAAATGCCTTATACCCTGTTTCCCCGAAAATAAGACAGTGTCTTATATTAATTTTTTCTCCCAAAGTTGCGCTAGGTCTTATTTTCAGGGGATGTCTTATCTTTCCATGAGCTAGGTCTTATTTTCAAAGGATGTCTTATTTTCGGGGAAACACGGTATTTCTCACCTTATAGTGTCCATTGATTGTTTGGGATTATTGACTCAACTGACTTCTTTGTTCCCATGGATTCATTTGACCCTTCCCAGCACACTGTGTTTGCCTTTATGCAGAGAGAAACTAAGTTCTTGCCCACAGCTGCTGGTGGCCTATGAGAAATGAGACACTTCCATTAATAACATAGGAAGTGTAATAAAGATGACATGATAGGTACAGATAAGCTGCCCAGGTCATTTAATAAAGGTAAAATCACTTCCACCTTGGGAACAATAAATTAGACATCTAGATGTGGACAAAAAGGGGCCCCATGCTAACCTGACAAGCTCAGGGAAGGCCTGCATGACGGTCTTGCAAGCTCAAAGACCTAAAGGATGGTCTGAAATTAAAACTATAACTAAAATCAGCTATGGTGGGTAGTCACGTCCTAGGCCAGTGGTCGGGAAACTCATTAGTCAACAGAGCCAAATATCAACAGTACGTATGATTGAAATTTCTTTTTATCGAATGCAGAACTCCTTTGTAAGAAAGGAGAGGACTGGTTGGTCTCCACTAAACCAAGAATAAGAAAAAGAATTGGAATCCTAGTGTAACAGGATAAAATTTTGATGTATTAACAAATGTGTTTTTCCCCATGATTTCCTGTTACCCCTGTCCCTCCCTCATCTGGGCAGCTAGACCATGAGTCATTTCTTGCCTTCAGGGAGGGTTGTCACAGCAGCACCAGAGAACAAAAGAGACAAATTCTTGGCATTTGAGTTTAAAAAGCTGAACTTTGGGCTTCAGACACAAAAAAGGTTTGGAAGAATATTTGATCAACTTGAGCCAATTTTTTTCCTGCCCACGTAAAATAAAAATTCCCTGGCTGGGAGACAAGAGGCTGTTCTAAAGCAAAGCAAGGAGGGCTGGGACCCTGGGGAGTCTCTGAAAGGGACTTTTGCACTCTACTTCTGCCCTCTCCACAGGCTGAACGCTGGCATGAGTGTGGGTCTTTCACATTCTGAGAACAAGGAGAACTGTGTCTTATTCCCAGGTTAGAATCCAAAAGATCGAAAGCCTCAGAGATTCCCCTCTACCCAGCCTTGTGCCAGACAAGCTGCCTGGCACATTTTCAGTAAAAGGGTATGGTTGCCTTGGAGAGTTTTCCACAGTCCTAGACTGATAAAGGAGCTGAGCCTAATATCTTTGTTGGTCCAGAGAGAGAGAGAGAGAGAGAGAGAGAGAGAGAGAAGTGCTTAAGAGAGAGCCAGCCCTGGAGGGATCCCCCAGTATGGTCCAAGGGCTGTTGAAGATGTCTTCTACGTGAACTGAGTACGATGGACCAGAGGTATCATATGCTGCTTAGAGGAGGCCAGCCTGGACAGATAACTACCAAGAACTAGACCTTGCGATATGTAAGGGCAATTCTGAGAAAGCAGATCCACTTGATGCGCAATTCTGAGTTCCACACTAAAATCTTCCTCAAATGGAAGCTCTGATTGTTGGTTTAGGCATAATTTAGATAGGCATAGGCCTCCTTATAAAGTATGGTAGCAACCATACGTGGGTAAAAATTGCCGTTTAAAATTTTAACCTTGCTGTTTTGGGTTTTGTACTCATTTAAAAGTTATTTTTGATTTTTTTGAACTTACGTATGCTATCCTAATACTCCATTGATGATGGTTTGAATATCCCATTGATTGTGATCTCACTGGTCTTCGAAACACATTCCTCTGGGACCCAAGACATAATTATCTTAAATTATCTCAGTAACTACAGATAACTGAGCTCCGTTGACTCAGTGATCCCAGAATCTGGATAGCACAATTATTCTAAATTGTTCAGGTAGTCCATCCCAGATAATGTGTTTCTGTTGATTCAGTGATTCGTAGATACTTTAGATAACTAACTTGCTCAGTTTCACTTCTATAAAATCGCAAAACAGGTTCCTCATTCCAGACCCAAAGATGTCATTGAAACCTTTGTGATATTCTGCCAATCTAAGCCAGAGTGGCAAGCTGTTCGGGGTTGCGAGGTCTGGAACGCTTTTGCTCCCTCGTATGCCACTGGCTTTTAATAAATGACACCATAATTCGACTTTTTGAGGCGTCCTTTGTAAGATGGGGATCCACCACAAAACTTAGATAGAATAGAGCTTCTGCTAATCATGCTAGGGGAGGTTGATCTCCTTGTACTTCATTGTTTATAGAACATGCAGGAGCTCCTGATTCAATCTGCTGTGCCATATCCATGATCTATTGCTGCACAGAAAGTACCCCCAAAACTTACTCTTAAAACAACCACCATTTTATTTGCTTCTGATCCTGTGTAAAGAGTAGCAGCAGAATGGTCCTTCTGACCTGAGTCTAAATTGCTGACCCACAGGATGATGAGAAAAGAAAGTAGTTGGTTTAAGTCACTGTTTTTTCCTCAAAGTCTTGTTTATTGAGACATGATTTATTTAGAGTGAAATTCATGCTTTGTCGGTGTATCGTTTCATGTAAGACTATACAGTACCTTATTTAGCTGATATTTAGATGAGACTTCGGAGTTTACTAGTAGACTTCAGATACTTGAATGAATTGAGACTTTTGGAGCTGCTGGGATGTAAGTTGTTATTGTTGCATTCCACTTATTGCTACCAGAATCTGTTTTAGTCAGCTCAAGCTGCATAACAAAATACCATCTTCTTGCTGTGTCCTCAAATGGAGTGAAAGAGAAGGGGGCGGGAAAGGGGACAGGGGGAGAAATCTTTATTGTCTCTCATTAGAACATCAATCCTATTGAATCAGGGTCCCCCTCTTATGACCTCATTTAACCTTAGTTGCCTCCTTATAAGCCCTATTTTCTCCAAATATAGTCACATTGGAGGTTAGGATTGCAAACCATTTGGGGTAGGGAGAGCATAATTAAGTCCATAATATGGGCATTGGGTTACAGCTCTCTGAAATGTACAACACCAAGAGAGGTTTTCATAAAGAAATCACTGTAAATGTAGCCTTGGAGTTCTGAGTGAATCCCACTAAGATTGAAAGGAAATGTATGAAATGTTCAGAGTTGAATTAACAAAGCACTATGGGTCTGAACCAGGGAAGACGGAGGCTTTCCAAAATAAAAACAGGTCTCGGGACACGCAAGTTTCTATGGTAGAGAAGCAGATTGAGAGAGCAAACATGGGCTATTTCTTATGGAGAAGGAAAGATATTTCAAAGTGTGGAGCCAAGAATGGTAAAGAACAGTGAAGTAGGGGACCCCAGACAGCAGAATTGGGCCCTAGTGGTACTCTCTGCCCCAAGAGGGAGACCTGACAACATCTCCCAGGCTAGTTCTCAGAATGCCTTCTCTTTGCCTCGTGCATCTTGTTTTTAAAAGCCAGTGTCTACTGAAGCAATCTGTTCTGTCTCACCATTGCATGTTGAGGCGTGGTAAGGACAGGGAACGTCTCATTTTTGTTCACAGGTATTTCAATGAAGAGGAGCCACATTCACATCTGGACTTGATCAGATGATGAGATCCTGGACTCCATGCCTGAAACCGCAGTGGGATGAGAGGTTGGAGGGAAAAGGTAGGTGCATTTTTTGTGAGGAATAGATGTGAATTATTGTAGGAAGGAGGGCCAGACTGTGGTAAACTGTTTGCAAAGATGGCACAACCATTGCTCTCATTCCTATACGAATGACCCATTGCAATGTGACTTTCCTGCCCCTTCCATCAGATGCAGAGTCCACGGTGTCACCACCAGCCCTGGCCTGTGCCATAGGAGATGTGAAGGACACAAAATAACTTGTCTGTTTGGTGCAGAAGATGTTTAATTATCTTCAGAAGTGATAAGAATAAGAGAAACATTGGAGGAATGTGGCAATAAGGCTGCCTCTATCTGCAGGCCTTTTCAGGGCATCTTCAGAGTTTCGAAACTGGGTATTTCACTTGTCATCCCGGTGAAAGGCCCGCCTCCACCATTGCATGGGGTTCAGTTGGTCACTAGTTCTAGAGTGCTTCCCGTCTTCCAGCAGCAACGCAGTGAAGAAGGGAAAGCTCAGCACAAAAGGCTGCAGAGGTTTCTGGACCTATGGGACACAGGGCCATGTCTACTGGTAGTTTCTGAGTTAAATGCACATGAGACAAATGAGCCACAATACTGAAAATGACTCAATGTGGTTGCTTCAGCTACTTTTAAGTTATACAAGCCAGGTTTAAGCAACTGCAATTATAATTCTACCAGACTACATAGTTCCATTTGTATGGCTTGTGTCTGCATTGCCTGATTTTTGCTTGGCTAAGAAAATGAGAAGACAGTTCTACAGGGTTTTTACTTTAATGAAGGTTCTGGTGTAAACATGGAGCTTTAGGATGCTGGCTGCAACTAATGGCCACAGGTAGTATACACAAGGTAGTGTTACCCAACCACTGAAAGTAATAGCTTATGAAATAGCTCTACTAACTCCCATTATTCATTTCCTCCTCCTCCTCCCTCTAATAGCGTGACACTATACATTGCAAGGTTACTTCACTCCTCATATGAACTTTTGGCCTAGTGACTTATCCCTGAGGCATGCTATAATCACCAAGAAAAGTGCTCTCTGTCACGTCTTATTGCTTAATTGTGGCTCTATTTTAGGTTCCTAGAGCCATTTGGCTTGGAAAGACCTCTCTTACGTGTGACTTTGAATATGCATCCATGTTGAATTTTCCTTGAGTTCACACACCAGTCTGTTCCACTTCCATCTTTTTCTGGCTTGGGCAATAATTACTGCCCCTTGGTTTAGCAATGCCTTGAATTATTGCAATGGGCCCTTATAATTACACTATTCTGCACTAAAGAGGATACTTCAACCTTTTGTCAGAAAAGCATGTGCTTAAAGTTAATTTTCCCAATGCTTGAAATTTGTTTGTTTTTTCACTAAATCCCAGTGGGCTCACTTTTTAAATCAGTGACATGCAAAAGCCTCCCTTTTTTCAATGCACTCTTGCTCTGGTTACTACATTTTCTTTTTAACTCAAAATCTGGACATACTGTCTAACAGAGGTCTTTGTTGTTGTTGTTTTAGTTGTGTGTGGGTATTGCTCCCAGTGCTAACGGCAAACCAAAATGCATGGCAGGTCTTAGATACATTCTTGGATTGCAAAACAACTGGATAGAATATTTAAAATTACGTGTTTGAAAAATTTGGGACTTCCAGAGGATGCATCTATATTCAGTGTTCCTACTACTTATTCTGTCCTCCCCTTACTAAGACATTATGTTCTGTTATCAGCCTCTATTTTATGAGTATCAATCTTAGTTCTTCACAGAGACTAGAAGCCTCTTAGGGACAAAGGCACAGGTCATGTACCTCTTATACAGCTCTGTCCATATACGTAGCTGTATACAGTTGTTTGATCCATTGCATAGGGATGATATTGCATTTTTAAGACAGCTGTTTGGGATTAGGAGCTTGCAAAAGTAGCCTGACATTAAGGTAAAGGCAGATTGGAAAACAGTGTCCTACTTCATCCCTCCAGAGAGTAGTTCAAGTCAGGCCTGGGGTAGATCTATGTTGAGAAGGGGTATAATTACCCTGGTCCAGAGCGCCCCAGGTCTGGTCTGGCAGACCAAGTTATATCTATCAGGGCCTTTTAAACTGCTGACTTGGCTCCTTAGAAATACAAAACCCAAAACATCATTTATAAAGGTCACTGTGAATGGCCTGGGTCAGAATAACTCGAGTCCATTTTGTGCCAGTGCCTCAGAAGAGGAAGTTGCTAAATACTGAGATAAAGCTCCCTGAGAGTACTATGTTGCTAAATCCAAACAAAGAATGAGAGAGGTTTATAGCTGAGTTTTTACTCTGTAATTCAAATGCCAATCCAGCAATGAAATATGCTCTAGGAATTGCAATCAGATTTTTATCATCTGACTTGGAAACCAGCTGTGCCTGCAGTGAGTACAGAGATTTACTACCTGCAATTGCCATAATTCCATCAGTAGAATTATGCAGAGATGAAAAACTTAAGAAAAAAACTGTTTTCAATGCAACACAAACCTTGTTTTAAGAAATTCTGTCTCCTTGAAACTAATAAAACATGGCTCTAATTTAAAGAACGAAGTACGGAATCAAGGTAAAGAACTCTGAAAACTCAGAAATTCAATTTACTCTTCAAAGTATTTTTTTTAAAGATAAGCGAGTAAAAAATTACAAATTGTTAAAGACCGTCTTTTAAACAGAACAAGCGAGATAACCCAAAGCAGTTAACTCCTCAATTACATAGCACATCAAGTGCCCTGATAACCTTATGCTCTGACTATTTGAGAAGTGGAAGAGAAGAGGAATTTAACTCCAGGAAAGACAGCTCTACAAAGTGCCCCAATAAACTCATGGCAGCAATTTTGAACCAATAATTTCCTTCACAGAAACTAACAATTACTGCGGATTTGTGAATCCATATATCAAAAGTCTTTTGAATGTATTTTATGATTTTAAAAGATATCAGGGCTATCCTGGAAAAACCAGTGCATATGGTCCTCATACCAGTGAGCCTCATGTCTCGCTCATTTGCTCGTGCTCCTCTCACACATGGGCTACAGCTGTCTTGTACAAAACTGATGCAATAGAACTTTGTCACTTATATCATCACCTGAACACTCAGATACCACCCTGGGAACGCCGAGCAAGGTATGTTTTTCAACATAATGGTTTCAGTGGACCATTTATAGAAAGCATTTCACAGGGAAGACCAACACAATCCCAGAGTGGGCTCTAAAGCAACATTGTTAAGAGGGAGGAAGTGAATTTTGTGGTCTGCACTCTAGGAGATACATCAAGGTTGAAAGAGACACATCAAGAGTTTAGAACTGCAACGTGACTATCCCTATAAGTCTAAAGTGAGCCAGTCGGCCAGCATGACATAAGTGAAATCTCTGGCTCTCCAATTCCTCATCCGTAAAGTAAGATCATTAAATCAGATGATCTTCAAGGCCCCATTCATTTAATTTCATGATTTTCATGTCTCCATAAACCTTATATGATAAATTCTTAAGGTACTTAAACCGAGTATTAAGTTGTACCCATCTGTTTTTGGATACAATATTATAGAACCTCAATTATGGATGAATTTTTCCCTAACAGAGGTTCATACAAATGTAGCTGATTGTATCTACCATATGAAGACTCAGGATGCATTACTGCTATACACAGCTCAAGAACACATTTAAACTGTTAAATTAAAATAAAAAAAAAGATAAACGAGAGACCACATTATAAGTGCATCAGATTTGTTTATCCCTTAGAAAAATAGGAGCATATTGGACAATGAAGATTTCAGTTTTTATGCATGCCATTCATAAATAAAAACAAACGGTCTACAAAAATGCTTCTGTTTAGAAAAGCCAGTAATGGAGAGCTATAATTTCAAATCAAATTACATAATATAAAAATACAGAGCTCAACCTCACTGCTAGAAAATAATATTCTCAAACAAATTCATTAAAAAATTATTTTTCAGAAATTATTATGTTTACTATATTATATTTGTCATCCTCTTTTCTTTCTTTTTTAAGACTTAAAATGCTTGACTTTACTGTTTGGAAGTTCTGATAAATCAGAATTTAATGTGATATTCACAGATTTTGTAACAAAATTATAATGTTTATTTACAAATTCACATATAGCACAATGTAGTGTTCAAGTATTAGTGATGGTAATTAATAAACTATCAGAGTAATAAGAAAATAACCATTTTAACAATTTAGATGATTTATGACAGGATAATTTATATCCAAGATATAAAATACATAATTACTGAAATGTTAAAGAAAATGTATTTTTTCATAATCAAAAGTAGCAAGATTTTCTATATTATTTTCATTCTCACTATAGCCAAGTTTTCATTGTCTAAATTTAATCAATGTGCTGATTAAAGACAATTTATTAATAGGAAAATTATATATATAGCATGTTTATATATATGCTTGTGTGTATATATCAACCAATCAAAATTCAGTTTGTAAACTAGATCCATTTAAAAGGCAATATAAAAGTGTATATTGACCTGGTCTAAAAACACTCATAACAATGTAATTTTTCTTCTATCCTTTAAGTTACTTGTTTTCACCCAAAATAAGGGGACAATAACAAAACTGGACCAAAATCAAGGTGAACTATGGGTAAAATGATAATTATTTGAGACTTCAGAATGGTCCAGCATGTTATTTCTAAAACTAATCCTAGATTAAAAAACTAATATTGTTTTAAAGAGGCATTTATCAGCGGTCATGGCATACTCTACACCAGGAAGACTACTGAAGACCATATTTGCTGAAAACAACAAACACTGGCCCTTCATGTGGTCAGAGCAGCTGAACCGTTGTCATGAGCACTAGACTTCACTTCCTGACTTGGGTGGTCTGGCGTGAGAAGGGGAGTGCTCTTGGGATTTTCACATTGTTCATCTACCTTTGGGCAGGCAACTGGTGCTTGATGCTCTTTGCTCTGAGTAGACCCTAATGTCACACTCTCCCTGGAAGGCTGAAATGGCCTCTCTCCATGAACCTTCTGTCTCCCTGCTTCTGCCTCTTGTTCCTGCAGTAGTCTCTCCACCTCCACCTCAAGCTCCAAAGTCTCCTCATCAGCTTGGACATCCAGTTGCTGCATCAACTCCTCCAACTTATTGGCCTTGCGGAGCTCATTTTGCTGTATGATTGTACAAAGGTGCTCAGTGAGCTGCTCTTTAATATCAGTCTTGCGCTGTAGGTCGAGCTTGGCCGTAACATACTCCGCTTCTGCCTTGTCAAACCGCTTCCTGTAGGGACAGGCACAAAGATTGTTCCATTATTTTCCATAGCAGAAAGCGGGCTGAGCAGCAATAAAAAAACTCCAGAATTTGGTAACAAGGTATAATGAAGATCTGACTATTACGGTAGTACTTTATGAACTCTTGTCTACACGTTAGACAAACTAGGCTGTTGCTGCTGAAACTTCCACAACATCCACACTTACTCTCCTATATATCAACACTCTCCTGCACACATTTCCTCTTTCCAAAGCTGTGCTTGCATGAAAACAGGCGAAGAGGGTTAATTCAGTGGTATGCTGGCTCTAAAGGGGGTAAGTCCTGATTGGTAGTGTTTGTCAACTTCTCTGGTGTGAACATACTACCATGACCAATTTCAAGCTATCAATATAACTGAATGTGGAATGGGGGGGAAACACACAAAATCTGCTCTCATGAGCTAGCTCCAGCACACAACTGGTTAAATTTATGAGTGGTAAAACAGTAAAAGATGGAGAACAAATCTCTATTATTTAAATTAAATTATCAGGGTGACATTGGTTAATAATCACATTATCTTAGTTTTAGGTGTACTTTATAATACATCTGCGCAATCTATTGTGTTAAATATATGGTGACATATATTTAACCCCTTTTAGCCCCTTCTACCACTCTCCAGCTCCCTTCTCCTCTATTAAACACCATTCTGTTCTGAGTTTTTTGTTAAGTTTGTTTATTGGTTGCTTTTTGTTTTATATCCTACACAGAATGAAATTATATGGTTCTTGTCCTTTCTGAGGGACTTATTTCACTTAGCATATTTTCAAGATTCATCCATGTTGTCACAAATGGTAATATTTCATCTTTTTAATGATTGGGTAGTATTCCATTGTATATATGTACCACATCTATTCTATCCAATCATCCAACTTTGGTTGTTTATGAAAATAGAAAAGCAACAAATTATATAGAAACGGCAAAAGACAGTGAACTATTGTGAATAATGCTGCAATGATCATAGGGGTACATATAGCTTTACCAGTATTTTCAAAGTTGGGTGTAGGTATGCACAAAAGGGATCACTGAATCATAAGATAGCTCTATTCTTAATTTTTTCATAGTGGCTACACGAATTTACATTCCCATAGCAGTGTGCAAAGGATTCCTATTTCTCCAGATCTTCTCCAAAACCTGTTATTTAATGTCTTATTAACAATAGCCATTTTAGTAGGCATGAGGTGGTATTTCATTGTGGTTTTGACTTGCATTCCCCTTGTGACTAGTGATGTTGAGCACCTTTTCATATATGTTAGCCACCTGTATGTCTTCTGTGGAAAAGTGTCTATCTAGGTCCTCTGCTTATTATTATTATTTTTTTAAACCTCACCTGAGGATATTTTTCCTTGATTTTAGTGTGGGATAAAGAGGGAAAGACAGAGAGAAACATAGATGTGAGAGAAATACATCAATTGGTTGTCTCCTGCATGTGCCCTGGGCACGTGACCAGAGTCTGGGCCAGGGAGGAGCCTGCAACCAAAATCGAACTCAGGATCCTTTGGTCCATAGGCAGCGGCTCTATCCACTGAGCCAAACTGTCTAGGGCCCTTTGCCCATTTTAAATCAGATTTTTGTTTTTGAGAAATCTAGATCTCTTGATTAATGGATTAAAAAAGGAAGAAAAATTTTGGAGGAGAAGTATATGGACAGTGGTTGGGAAATGAATATAAATGGGACAAGACACACCAAGCAAATGATACTGGGTGCAGGCAAAAAGTAAAAATCAAGTAGGAAAGAAAACCTCAGGATATGTTTTGGAAGGATTTCTCAACATTGGCACTCCCGGCAATTCAAACCATGTAATTCTTTGCTGTGGGGAGCTGTCCTAGACAGTGTAAGATGTGTAGCATCGCTGGCTTTTCCCCACCAGCTTCCAGCAGCACCATCTAGTTGTGATAACCAAAAATACCTCCAGAACATTACCAAATGTCTCCACATCTTCTCCAAAGGGCAAAAATGTCCCATTTGAGAATCCCCGGGTTAAGTTGTCCTCACCCTCTACACTCTGCAACAACAGTGTTATTAGACTTTTATTAGGAAACTAGAGGCCCAGTGCACAAAATTCTTATGGGGAAGGGGGAAGTCTGAGAGGGCTGAGGGGGTAGTCCCTCAGCCTGGCTTGTGCCCTCTCGCAACCTGGGACCCTTCGGGGGATATCTTACTGCTGCTTTAGGCCCGAGACCCATGGGGCAGCTCCTTTGAGCATCTGCCCCCTAGTGGTCAGTGGGTATCATAGTGACTGGTTGTTCAGCCAGTTGTTCCATTGCCGTTGTCAATTTGCATATTAGGGTTTTATTATATAGGATTTTATAAATGTCAGATATGTAAGCTCTATAGATAAGTAACACCAGTCTTGCTTGAAGTAAGGTAATTCTACTGGAAAAGTCACCCTGCCATTTCCCCCTTTTTCTTTTGCATTAAGTTGATATAAAAAATTTATATACTGGTTCACTGTGTTTTGACTTTTCTATATAATGTGTTCTTTTATTTTTGCCAAGAAAAGTGATTCCCCACTTACCAAATAATTTATTCCATTTAATGTCCATTAACAGTTGTGAAGGCTGTGCTGTCTTATGATTGCCTATACAACTCAATATAATAAGTAATTTCTAGTACTAGAATTATAGCAAAAAAAAGAAATAGGTATATCTCCTAACTCAAGATTCTCTGTCTTGGAAGGAAATATAGTAAAAAAAAATAAAAGGCTTTGATTTTGGAAAACCCAGAGTTCTAAACCTGCCTTTGCCATTTGCTAGATGTGTACCTGTTTTTTTTTTCTCGGGTGTGAAGAAGAGAGAGCCAGGCAAACTAGCTCAGGTAAAAAGCCAACTCAGGTCCTCCCTCTGGAATTCCGGAACTCTGCTAGAGTGGGGGGAGTGGGTGTGGAGCTGATATAGAGCCACAGCTGGTGGCAATATTGGGTGGTGAGTATAGCAGGAAAAGCCGAAACGCTTTAGAGAAACTGTGGTGTCTGAGCATTGAAGAGGATAGCCTTTGATTATGATCACATGCCTGTGAGATTCCCTCTTTATCCTATAAAATAATAAAACCCACTTTTTACCTGAGCTAGTTTGAATGAGTCCCTGTTCTTCACAGAGCTCATAGTAACAGGCTATGCTCTGAACCCTTGTGTGGCCCATACATGAAATGTTTTGGAGTTGGTAGCTTGTCTTTGTTCTAATCAGAGATGGCCCAGGGTCAGCATCATGAGTATGAAACACAGCCAGGTTCCTGTGGGAGGGGTTGGAGATGAAGCACGCAATGACTAAAATTCCAGTGGAGTGACCCGAGGTAATTTTCTTCAGTGGAGTTCTATTTTATCCGTAAAATGGTGAGAATAGTACTTCATAGGAGTATTAAGGATTAAGTAATGTGTGTAGGGCAGGTGTCTGGTCTAGGGCCTGGTAGGTACTCAAGAAATAGAACTTCCCCTCTGGAGCACCAGACTCAAAAAGCACTCTCAGTATATCACTAAACATGTATCTAAAATGAAAATGATACAAAACACAAGGATCTGATGCTTATACTTGAAAACTCTAACTTACATAACATCTATTTATCATATTTCTTTTCTTTTTTTACTGTCCTCTAGTAAACATGAGAATGGGAAAACTGTTTTTCCATTCCCCTGTGTGTTAAGAGAATTGTGCTAAAGGAGCTCTGTTGGATATTTGGATCCCTGATTTCCATACTGTATAACATAACCTGTTTGTGAATGTTCTGGCATCAAGCATGAGCACTCTAACAACACTCTCTATAGGTATATGACTACCTCGTCCCGCCCCCAAACTCAATCCTCCCTTCTCTGTGAGGCTGTGGTTGCCCTCAGCCAGTCAAAGTCAGCCAGGAAAGATTTACTGACCCGGGCTCATGAATGCTGAATTGAAATGAAAATTTGTAAATAGTTACCTAGGTTTCCATCAATCTTTCATCCTGGATAAATCACTGAAGATTCTGCATTTTGTTTATTTATTTAAGTCCTTCTGGCCAGAAACATGCATATACATTCTTGTACAGAGCGATTTATGTTTAAAGTATTGATTAGTTTTACAAACTGCACTATGGGCCTGGGGGTCAGGTGGATGTACCAAATCAACCTGAAGACACACTTTGGAACAGAATAATAAGTGCATTATATATAACACAGTAAGAGAAGTTCAGCTGAAATGTAATTACAGATTTAGTTTGTTATTTTAAAGAGACATTGAATGATTTAATTGTTATTTAAAGGATTCTGGAAACTGTGTCTTGGCTTTGGTATCCTTGAAACTAAAAAATCAACAACAAAGAAACCTCAATCATAACCCATGGCATGCCTTTAGGTTCCACTGATCCACTTTTAGTTATTCTGTTTTTTTTTATTTGCAAGGATCAACAAACATATCATGATTTTTTAAAGTCCTTTATTAGAAGTCTTCTAGAGAATAAAGATAAAATATATTTATATTTTTTAAAAATAGAAAAAAACTAATCATATTTTGCAATTACTACATAGGACCATTGGATCCTTTTATAATGTAGGTTACTTTACCAGATTGTTGAGGGTTTGTTTTTTTTAACATTTTCCCATTTCATCACTCTATGACGTATTTCCTTGTACCAATTATTCCCATTTATCCTAACCAATTAAAATAAGAAGAAAAAAAGAGACTGATGAAATGACCTAAAAGGATGATGCTATAATGGAATAAATCATTATGGTTCAATTTCCTTACTGCATTGTCCAAAGTATTATATCATCTTTCAAGAAAGTATAAAAGACTGGAAATCCCAGTTTTGTAATCTGCTCTAGCTTTCATTGAACACAGATGAGAATTAGTATTTTTTTATTCTCTGTGCTAATGGCAAAGTAGAGAAAATTGACAGATGAAAACATTTTGCAGTTATTAGGTCAAAAGATAAATGTTGTGGTAGCTAAAAAGTAGTTCCACAAAGATATTCTCTTCCTAATCTCCAAAATCTAGAGTCTCTGAAGGAAGTGTGACATGGCCTGGCCGACACCTTGATTTCAGACTCTGGCTTCCAGAAAATGTAAGAGTATATTGTTCTTGTTTTAAGACACCCAGTTTGTAGTAATTTGTTATGGCAGCCCTAGTTAACTAACACAAATGCACATAGAGCCAGTCTAGATTCCAGATGGTGCAATTGTTTGTGTAAGTGACATCTCAAAGTATGTCTTCAAAAAAAAAACAAAAACAAAAAACCACATCCTAGATGAATGTTCTCAAACTCACCATCAATGAGTGAAAAGAGGATACAAAGAAAATGTTATTTTTCATAGTTAATAGTTTCAATAGGAAGAACTTAATCAATCCATATTTTACAAGTATCTGGACCATCCTGTATTGCTAGGAGGCTGTAACTAAATACATTCTTTCTATTTTAAAAAAAAAATAAGTTTTGGAGTCAAACATTACTTGATACAAAGAGGTTTGTGATGCACAGGTTCTTCTTTTAATGAAGTTGTTTTCCACAATCCCTTTTATTCTCACTCTGTCAATTATTCATAAAATGACTTGAAAGTATACATGTGTGTGCACATGTGTGTACATGTGTGTGGAGAGCGTCTGTTAAACAGAGGTGGCAAATAGTGATAATTGTTTTTCCTGGTATATTGAGGGTTAAAGAAATGTTCTACATGCAGCCACTCTGAGTTTTACAAGCTGGTCTGCACAGCACATGGCAACACTGTCACTGTTGCTGCCAACAGCAGCAGCCGCAGCAATGCTCAAGTTGGCTCACTCAAAAGTGTTTGCCCTGATGTTGCTCTACAGAAGCCAATTCCACAGTGAACTCTGGCCTGTTCAATATCCCAGAACCTTTTGTGGACACAGCACTGTACCAGGCAGTAGAGAACTATATATATTTTTTTAAAAATCAAGAAAAGCTGAGACCGGTTTGGCTCAGTGGTGGAGCGTCGGACTGTGGACTGAAAGGTCCCAGGTTCGATTTGGGTCAGGGGCATGTACGTTGGTTGCAGGCACATCCCCGGTGGGGGGTGTGCAAGAAGCAGCTGGTAGATGTTTCTCTCTCATCAATGTTTCTAGCTCTCTATCTCTCTCCCTTCCTCTCTGTAAAAAATCAAAATATATATTAAAAAAAAAAGATGTTGAGGGACAACTAATAGATTGCCACATATATCAAAAATAAAAACTAATATTAATTTTTAAAAAAATCAAGGAAAATCTCCCAAATAAATGGACTACCTTGGGGATTTGTAGAAATCTAGACCATAATAATATATTACCAATCTATAATTTCTCAATAACCACAGACATAAATTTAGACAATGTCTTAATCTTATGCATGAACAAGATACAATGCTGGTTCCAGACACAATTTTTAATAAGATTTATAAAAATAGCCTCACACATGCAATATGGATATTCACATACAATGATGTCAATATCAGTAGTTTAAGAAATTAACATTTTGAGCTTAAGAGATGTAAAAAATGCACCCAGTGAAATTTTTTATTTTGTAAAAATTTACTGAAATCTCATGACAAACATTTCTATTTTATGGGATAGTTCCTCCTTTAACCTGTAATTCCACCTTCTTTGTGGTTCTCTGAAGGCTAAAACTATGAAATTTTAAAAATATAATGTTCAGTGTACAAAGGCATCTTCTCCCAGGCTCCTTTAAGCCAGAATTAAAACATAATCTGATAACTTCTCTGTAAGTATCCAGAATAATCTGAATTACTCATATAAAAGGCTATAAAGGCCAAAAATAAATAAAAAATTCCTCTGGCAACCTTAAGTTCCAGAGAATAAAATGTGCTAAACATCTAGGCTTAGTTTAATCTTAATAAAATCTTGGTCACCTCCTTAATGACCTTATTAGTAGAAATCTGGAACCTCTAGTTATCAGCTACTGATGGCATTAATTTAGGCAACCCATTAAATCTAACAGCACATGGTCAAACAACAATTACAAAAATCATGAGGACACCACAAACCTCTTTCTTAAATAATAAACAGTGAATTAAAAACCACAATCAAGCATTTCCGCTTTATTAAATTGTTATATAAACATTCTGATGCTGTGGTTTACCCTGGACTAATGAGGCATTCTGATTGATTTCTAGTGTTACAGAGAAAGATGCAAAACGGAGTCATTAACACAGCAATCCCTTGTGAAAAAAGACAAACCAGGATGATTAAAGCAATGTTGAAAGGACTGAAAACCCTGAAATTGACTTAATTTTTTGCCTTTTTATCTGCTTGCAAAGTTCATGTAATTCTTTACATGTGTTAGTTCATTTTAAAAATACTCTATGATGATTTTTTTCTCTTAAAAAAATGCCAATGGCTGAAACCAAGGAAACACATGATAGTGAACTATTTTATACAGAATAGAATCGGAAAGAAAAAACTTGAAGTTTTCAAGACAGTGATATTTTCTTTAAATATTCACAGGCTTTGAAAAATAAACTAGGTGTTTCTTTAATGAAAACTAAAATGGGAACTAGGTTAATCCCTAAGGAGAACCTCAATCAAAATTTAACAAAAAAACCATAGAGTTGGCATTAAAATTATAATTTGGGGGCAAGCCATTCAGATACTTAGAGCGTCTCAAACATTAAATATCTGATGCTTTAGTAAGAAAAACTAAAATGTAAATAAACAATAAGGAGATAATCTAAAGGGGACATGAACAAGGTTAAGGGATAGAGCAAAGTAAAGGAAAACTTCAAGAAGAGGAGACACACTAGACACTACTTATTCCAAAACAGGAATGAATACAACACTTACTGTGCTGGCTATGAGGCTTAAATGATGATACACATAAAAGGTCCTGACCCAACTAGCAATACACATGAATTAAATCGAACTGCTTGTTCTGAATCAAATTTCTCCAACTCACCGAGCATTTGAATACTCCAGACTGGCCTGGTCAATCCGGTTCCTGAGGATTCCAATGTCAGCTGAAACCATGTCATCCAAAGCCTGTAACTCCTTCTGGATCCGCTTCAGTTTCACGGTCTCTGCCTGAGTTCTTTTAGATCTAGAAAATTAGGAACATGAATGGGAAAATAAAAACATTCTAAAACCATATATCCATATACAATGTAAATGAAAAAAAGCAAGCTACTGCAGTGGTTAGCGAACGTGCAGCTCGCAAGCCACATGCGGCTCGTGAGCAGCGGTTTGCTGCTCTGTGGACTAATGAGTTTGCCGACCACTGCGTAAGGCGTTACCCTTACCCAGAAGTTTTGACTTCAGGTTAAAGACATTAGTATATTATTAAAATGTTTTTTAAGTGTTTTTCCCTAAGGCAGTGGTCAGCAAACTCATTAGTGAACAGAGCGGCAAACCACTCTGCTTGCAAGGAGTCGCAGTTTGCCAGCCACTGAGCTACTGTATTTATAATATATAATTTTTTAAAAATAGAGAGTAGAAAAATAGAAATAAATGTAATTTATTTAAGAAAAATAGAAAGAAATCAAATGCCAGTAACATTTTGGTGTATCTCTAAGATTTGCACTTCTTCTTAGTGTTTCAAATTTTCTATTAGTATAGTATACTAGAGTCCCGATGCACGAAATTCTTGAAAGGGGCTGAGCCCTCGCAGCCACAACAGCTTTTCTCAGCCCTTGCAGCCCCGCCTTCATCTGGAAGGTCGTCTGGAAGAATGTCAGGAAGGATGTTCGGCTGTTCGGTCTAATTAGCATATTACGCTTTTATTATTATAGAATTATTATAGATGATTTTCATATACAAGGGGGAAAAAACTGAAAAATTTATCAATAAATAGTTCACTCATAGATATATTCATTCCATAAGGAAGAGAATATGCACTAAAACAATATAATTTTATTCTCTTTACATTGAAACATCAAACAAAACGCTCCAAATCTCTAGCCCATTTTCATTTGATACCTGGAAACCAAAACAGACCATTTATTTGTCTAGAAACATCTATTTGGTTTTAACTTTCTTAGGACTCGTTTCCTCAAACTGTTATTGCTTTGATTCCTTTCTTTAGGTAAAACTACAGGTCCTCAAAATTTTTCTTTCTTTCTCAAAGCCAAGCACTTTTTTTTTTCTTATTTAAAAGCACATTCAACCTCACCATCTCTTAGTCTCCTCACCACCCCCAAGTTCATTACAAACTTAACAAACAAAACAAAGATAAAATCCAATCTTTAATCATGATTTCACTCATTTCAAAATGTCATACACATTTTTCCAGGAGAATAAAACTCCCACATAAAACCTCATATTGCAGAAAGAGCCCTGGCTGGCATTGCTCAGGGGTTAGAGGATCAGCTGTGCACCAAATCGCTGCACATTAGATTCCCAGTCAAGGGCATATACCTGGGTTGCAGGTTTAATCCCTGGGCTCAGTTGGAGCATGTATAGGAAGTAACCAATTGATGTGTCTTTCTCATATGGATGTTTCTTTTTCTCCTGTCTCTTTCCTTCTCCCTCCCTTCTTTCTACTCTCTATGAAAAGCAATGGAAAAAATACCCTTGGATAAGGATTAACCAAAATAAAAATAATAAAGGGCAGAAAGAGTGGATAATGGGTGGGAAAAGCAGTTCTAATGGGAATGTTCTTATTTGAGGTCAGCACAACACAGTAAAAAATGGGGGAGGGGGATTTCGGACACACTGACATTGGGAGACGAGAGAAAAACTGAACTGCAAACAGTATGGGACAGTACTCGCAATGGTGACTCAAGTCATCAATAAAAGCTTAAATTATATCATGTATCTTCTATCAGTGGGGGCAGAGTAATTATTTAAGAAAAATGTCCATAGGAAACCTAAGATTTGTGGGAGTATAAAACATTTATATAGAAAACAATCTGCTCCTAATGATAAAGGCCCCCTCTTGTCAAAATGAAAACTTGCATTTCTTAATTTACTTATATTGACAGCTATTTACTGCTCCCTTATGAATGCATAGATGGTTAAAACTGAAAGCACTGACACTGATCCTTAAGTTTTAATTGTACCTGTGTTACCAATAAACTTGCTATGATCTATCCTTAAATGATTTCAATATCATTTATAAAACATAATTTGCTTAATCGGCCTTAAAGAAAATGCCACTTTATTAGAATAGACATGGGAAAATAAATATAAAACATGGCAGAGCTGACTGCAGATTGTGAACCATCTCCCCAGGTTCAGGTGCCTCACCTTTCCGCAATAGCTCTAGCCAAAAGAGCTTTCTTACGTTTATTTTTCTCTTCCATTAGCCGCTGTTCATGTTGGAGCACTTCCCAACGAGACTTTTCTTGCCTAGGGAGAAAAAAAGTGTAAAAATGAGTTTCTGAAACACCACCCCACACCTTCCCAGTCTCAGTCCCCCACGTATAAAATTTAATCAGCCAGATTATGTATAAGTTTTTAAAAAGTCCTTTTGAAAGAAACCCATCTGCAGCTCATTATTTTGTTCTAATAGAAACAAAGATTATGATTTGAAGTAAAGAAGGCTTACATACCGTAAATTGGCCCTTTGAAATCCATTATATGTATATAACCTAGGAACCCACAAACTGGAAGCCAGAATAATGTGGCATTTTTTAGAAGTACAAAGAAACCTATGTAAGTTAATTATGTATTATATGCAAAATGGAGAGAAAAATAAGTAGGTCTGTAGCTAATATGTTATATTTTTCAAAGTTCTTTTAAAAATCATTTTAGTGATTTAATCATTAAATCACTTTATAGTCTACATTCTTGGGTCCATGGAACATATTTGTAATAGTTGTTTAAATATCCTTTGCCTGATAATTCCCATTGTTTGTGGGCTATTTGTCTTGATGATTTTCCTCCTGGTTATGTATCACAATATCCTTTCTTTGAATGCCTAGAAAGTTTTCTTTTTCTCCAGATTGAATGTGCATTTAATTTTTAAAAAAGTGTTTCAATTACAGTTGACATACTATGTTAATTTCAGGTGTACAACATATTAGACATTTATATACCTTACAAAGTCATCACCCTGATAAATTGAGTACCCAACTAACATAATATATAGTTAGTACAATATTATTAACTATGTTCCCTATGTTATACTTTACATCCCTGTACTATTTTTATAATTGCCAATTTGTACTTCTTAATCCCTTCACCTTTTTCACCCATCTCCTCAAACCCCCTCCCATCTGGCAACTATAAATTTGTTCTATTTGTTTATTTTGTTCATTTGTTTTTGAGATTCCACATAGAACTGAAATCATGGTATTTGTCTTTCTGTCTGACTCATTTCACTTAGCATAACACCCTTGAGTCCATCCATGTTGTTGCAAACGGCAAGATTTCATTTTTTATGGCTGAGTAACATTCTACTGTACATATGTACCATTGTTTTTTATCCATTCGTCTATTGATGGACACTTAGGTTATTTCCATATCTTGGCTATTGTAAATAAGACTGTAATGAACATGTGTACATGTCTTTTTCAAATGAGTGTTTTGAGTCTCTTTAGGTAAATACTCAGAAGTGAAATTTCTGGGTCATATGAAGTAATTATTGATAGGTATCCAGTTATTGCCATTTTGTTGCTTTCTGATTGTTTTTGTAGTTGTCTGGTCCTCTTTTCTTGTATATTGATGACTTTCTAGTGTTGTGTTTGGATCCCTCTCTTCATTTCTTATATATTTCTTAGAGATTTTTGCTTTGTGGTTACCATGTGCTTCATATTTACTAAACTATATTAATTACAGCCTATTTTTTTAGAATATACTTTTATTGATTTCAGAGAGGAAGGAAGGATAGAAAGAAACATCAATTATGAGAATCATTGTCTGCCTTCTGCATGCCCCACACTGGGGATTGAGCCACATGCCCTGATCAGGAATTGAACAGTGATCTCCTGGTTCACAGGTCGATGCTCAACCACTGAGCCACACTGGCTCTGCTAGAGCAGTCTATTTTAAGTTGATGGTTCTTAAAGTTTGATCATGCTCTAAAATCACTACAATTTTTACTCTTCCCCTCCATGTTTGTTTTTGTCATTCTTTTTTACTTCTTTTGTGTGTTTATGTATAATTGTATTATAATTAAACATGGTCTTTGTTCTTTTGCCTTTTAACCTTCCTCTTAGAATAGATTAACTCAGTGAGAACCTCAACAATTGATTGACCCACTGCTTTTACTACATTTGCCTTTGTCAGTGATAACTTTCTTTCTTGTATTTTCTTATTCATAGTTTTGATCTTTTCTTTTCTACTTAAAGAAGTCATTTGACATTTCTTGAAATCCTGGTTCAATAGTGATGAACTCCTTTAGCTATCTACTTCTAATCTGGAAAATTCTTTCTCTCTCCTTTGATTCTAAATGACAGACTCGCTGGGTAGAGCAACCTTTGATGTACGTCTTTGCCATTCATCAATTTGAATATTCATGCCAATCCCTTCTGGCCTGCAACATTTCTGCTGAGAATCACCTGACAGTCTTATAGGAGTTTTCTGGTACATAACTGCTTTTCTCTTGCTACTTTTAAGATTCTTTGTCTTTAATCTTTGGCATTTTAATTATGATGTCTTCCTGTGGGTTTCTTTGGGTTCATCTTGTTTGGGACTCCGTGCTTCCTGGGCTTGTCTATTCCCTTTGCCAGATTAGAAAAGTTTTCAGTCATAATTTCTTCAAATAGGTTCTCAGTCCCTTGCTTTCTTTCTCTTCTTCTGGCAACCCTATGATGTGAATGTTGATACACTTGATATTGTCCTAAAGGTACCTTAAACTGTCCTCATTAAAAGAATTTTTTTTCCCCCCTAACCGGTTTGGCTCAGTGGATGGAGCATCAGCCTGTGGACTCAAGGGTCCCAGGCTCAATTCCAGTCAAGGGCATGTACCTTGGTTGTGGGCACATCCCCAGCAGGGGGCGTGCAGGAGGCAGCTGATCGATGTTTTTCTCTCATCAATGTTTCTATCCCTCTCCCTTCCTCTCTGTAAAAAAATCAATAAAATATATTAAAATTTTTTTGTCCCAATTGGGTGTTTTCTGCTATTTTATTTTCCAGATTGCTGACTTAGTCCTCTGCTTCTTGTAACTTGCTGTCAATTCCCTCTAACGTATTCTTCATTTCAATTATTATATTCATTTTTTTAATGGTTTCCTTCTCTTTGCTGAGGTTCTCATTGAGTTTATCTATTCTTTTTCTAAGTTAATTGATCATTCTATAACCAACCAGTTTTGAACTCTGTATCTGGCAGATTGCTTGTCTCCATTTTGTTGCTCTTTTCTATGTTCTTTCATTTGGGGAATGCTTGTCTCATTTGTTTGAATCCTTGTATTTCTTTCTATATATTAGATAGATCTGCCATGTCTCCCACTCTTGGCAGAGTAACTTTATTTGGATGTCCTCTGTGGTCGCATGGTGCAGTCCTTCTGTTCACCTAAGCCAGGTGCTCTAGGGGCATCCTCTGTGGGTTGTGTGCCTTCCTGTAGTAATTAAGCTCTGATTGCTATTGACACATCAATGGGTGGGATTGCCCATCTGGCTTACTTGCTGTGAGGATTAGCTATGACTACAGCAGAGAAGCTGCTGTGCAGACACTTATCCCATAGAGAGGGAGTCTCTTCAGATGGGCTGTGGTGCCAGCTAAGTTCACCCTTTGGGTGTGTCTTTTGTGGAGCTGGTTGGGTGATGCTCTGGTGTGGTCTGAAGTTGGTCACCAATTGTGTTGGTTTTGAAGCCTCTTAGGAGGAGCTCCACTAGAGGCCAAGGTCAGGCTCTGGTGGCTTGGATCACCTGGTCAAAGCTACAAAGTGATCTTGTTGATGCTTGTGCCAGACTTGGAGGTACTTGGGAGAGACTATGCTGCAAACCAACGCCACTGCCAGTAGTGCCAGGCATGGGACCCTTTGGTGGACACCATGATTTTGGCTGACACTAGCCAAATGCAAGTTGAGATTAGTCATCACTTGTGTCAGGCTTGGGGTTGCTTATCAAAAGGTACATAGCATGCTGAGGTCAGCCGCTGCTTGTTTGGTTTGTGAACCTTTAAAATTTTAGGAAAAGTCCACAGTATGAGCTAAGGCACATGTGTCAAACACAAGGCCCGCGGGCCAAATCCGTCCCGCCAGGCCTTGCAATGTGGCCCGCACCGCGCTGTCATCACTGCACTCCGCTGCGTTTCCATCACAATGACAGTTTATGACTGTTCAGTAAATCATTCGGCCCGCGATTTAGGCTGGATTTTAGATTTTGGCCCCTTCTCTGATTGAGTTCGGCACCCCTAATAGGTATTCCATGAGTTGAGTGAGGTGAGGTCTCAGGGATTCACCAGGGTGGGGCGAACGATGATAGCTTAGATTGGCACTCATATGTGCCAGGCTCAACAAAGGAACAATGGCACCTGCCAGTGCTTCTGTCCCTAGAGAGAGTTGGCCCCTGTCCCTCCAGTCCTCATCTGAAGCTATGCAATTCACTTACTCCTTGCATGTCCCTGGCACTTTATGAGCTGCTGCCCCTGAAGGCTTAGAACAAGGAGTTTGTGAGTAACTCCATGCACAGACTCCTCAAGAAGAAAGCCAGGGCCTCTAGCAGCCCTCCTTCTCACAGTGCTGCAATCCCTGCTGATTTTCACAGCCTGATGTTGTGGGGACTCCTCTTCTCAGCACTGGTGCCCTGGGCTGGAGATGACCTAGGGTTAGGACCCCTAACTGGGAAGTTCAATAGGGAACTTCCACAGCTGAGAGAGCCCTCCTGAATCTTACCGCCACACCATGAGTGTGGGACCTACCTGTTCTGTCTCTGTCCCTTCTACCAGTCTTCCCTTTGTATCTTTAGTTAGAGAAGTTCTGTCCAGCTAATTTTCTTTTTTTTATTATTTAATATATTTTTGTGGTTTTTAGAGAGGAAGGGAGAGGGAAGAAATAGAACATCAACGATGAGAGAGAAACATTGATTAGCCATCCCCTGCACACCCCATACCGGGATCAAGTCTGCAACTCCGGCATATGCCCTGACCATAATCAAACCATGACCTCTTGATTCATAGGTCAAACTTAACCACTGAGAGCTATGCTGGCTGGGCTGTTTAGCTAATTTTCAGGTGGTTCTTGAGGGTGGTTGTTCTATAACTTAGCTGTAAATTTGATGTGGCTGTGGGAGCTGGTGAGCACACAATTTATTTACTCCACCATCTTCTCCAGAAGTGACTCTGTAGAGTTTTCTATAATAAAAGTCTGCACCATGAAACACCCTTAGGACAATAAGCAATATTTATTTCATTCATTTTCTTTAAATTTGCTCACTTCTTTCCAGCTCGTAAACATTTGTAAACAAAGTGAAAAACTATGAACTAAGACTTGAATAGTGGGCTAAGAAAAACTTCAAAGGTCTGAAAACATGAATTGTCTTCCAATCAAATTCTGAAAGAAGTATATTAAAATTTCCTGTAAATTCATCAACTTGATGTCAACTCAAATTAAACAAGATAATGAAAAAGCTATTTGTTCCTACTATTGACATTTCTTACAGCCATATATCAGAAATATCTATTCCCAGACTTAATAACCACTTCCACAATTATCCTTCTCTCCATTCCTACAACTTCCATCTTAGTTCTGGTCCTTTCTCATTTTTACTATCACAGTCACCTCCTCACCAGATGCCTTAGCTTAGCCAGCTCCCTATTCCAAATGTTCTGCAACACTGACACCTGAATATTTCCTCACCATTATTCTGATCAGGGCCTCTCTCCTTTAGAGGGCGTGGTGGTCCACTATAGCAGCAGTCACCAACCTTTCAGACCTCACGGACGACCGGTGGTTGGCGACCACTGTACTATAGCATCTGGGAACTTGCTAGGCAAGAATCTCTACTCCCAAGTCCTTTTACTCTTTCTTAATTATTTATTATTCTCTGGCCTGGTCTTTGCCTCTTCCAGAGGAGCGAGATGTCATCCTTGAACAGTCTCTGAAAGACAGCTTTCCTTTCCCCTTCTTAGAGCCTCAGAATTCCTCCTTTTCAACAACAGTTCCAGACATTACATGTATTCTATGGAAATTCTCCCAAGTACGTAAAAAAAGAATAATTTTCCTCATGACATGCAATCTAAATTGCCCGGCTCTATTCAAATCCACCCCCTATTTGTCTCAGGCCTTTGTTGGTAAACTATTTGAATGTATGCACATGTTTTGCTCTCATAATTCACACAGCTATACATCTCCTGTCAAAGTAAATAATATACGATTATATGAATTTACAAGTCATAGCATAGCAATTTTCACAAGAATGTAGCTAAACTAAATTCTGGAGGTGGTTGCAAGTACAAATTAAGTAAGAATAAAAAGAAATCTAATGACATATGTGAATTATTTAATCAGTCCCCTTAATTTCCTACACACTTTCCTCTGACCATCCCTACATGTCTCTTCACAAGTATCCTTCTCTGGGCCAATGAAGATGCAGCCTGGAAATTGAAGAATGCATTAAATTTGGGAAGAAATCCTACCCATACAAGAAATGCTTCTGTGAGTGTCAAGGTTATAGACTCTGGATTCAGAGAGACTTTTATTGAGTCCTAACTCTACTACTTACTAGTCGTGTATTGGCTTTGAGAATACAACAGCTATTCTAAGTTCAAAGTAGCTGTAAAGTGAAAATAATGAACTAAGTAACATTAAACATAAAAGGTCTAACACTGACTGACTTATAGTAGCTCTTTCTTGACAATTTGTTTATCACAGTTTTAGGTTAGAATATGAAAGAGAGAAAATGTTAAAACTACATTTCTTCAAAGCCCAATAGGAAAAAAAAAGTAAAATGGAAAATATATCATGGATATATAGACTTACTAACAATTCCACTTTCTTTTTCTCCAATTTGCAATCTGGTTTTAGAGGTACAACCTCAGCACTTATGTGACCATCCTGGGAATTCTCAAGTCCCAGTTCCCTTGGTTGATTTTCAGTGTCCTGTGGTTTTCTATTGCCAACAGGACAGTTGAGTGTAAGAGGATTAGGAGCAGCAGGGGAGGAAAAATCTGGCTTTTGGTGATTGAATCTCTGTTGTGGTGCAGAGAGCAGCTGCTCTGGAGATAATCTGACTGATCCATCTTGCAGTCCAAGTTTTTTGCTTTGCTCTTGAAGGACTTTTTCTCGCTGAAGTTGTTGTCGACTTTTCTTCATAGGGGGACGCCGCTGTGGTTCAAATGGATCTACATAAAAGAAAATAAAAGAAAATTCCTTTGTGTGAACAGCAAATAATTATAATTTCTCTAGGAAAATAAGAGATTAACATTAAACTTTTTTGATAATCCCCCTTCTCTAGCTTAAAAGCCCAGGCAAAAATAGCATCTTCCTGTAGAGTTTAGATAGTTCTTCAATCTACTGTTAGCATTTAACAAAAACTATTCTACCGCTCAATTTATCTTCAAGGAGAGCTAGCTATTTGTCTGTGAGTAAGGCCTTAGGATACAAAGCAAGGTTTTTCAACTTGATTTGATTATTATCAAAAGTATCACCTATTTGATCAAGATAGGTAGACCAGTGAATTCTCTGATATATCTTAAATTTGATTTAGTTGTGTCTACTCTCCTGAAGTAAAATGGTGGTTGTGGTTGAATTTTCAAGTGAGCTTCACCTTTCCTAAATTTTCACAGATTTTAAGGCAATCTGATACATAAGAAGATGCTGTACACGAAGTATAACTAAATGAAGTCCCCTATTTCTAGTTTCCTCTAAATTGTTTTCTTTAATCTTCTAGAACAGTCCCAGATTGTGTTCCCCAAAGTCTAGTTAGACTTTAATCAATGTATGCAACCTAACTTTAATAGCAGCCTGATCAAAGCAATAGAGGAAGATAAAAAAGTTATATTACAAACTGAGTAATAATACTTCTATTATACTTTTTATATTGTCCATATCAGTATTAACCTTGTAGGGAAGATAACTGGAGAATTTAACTCATAGTCATACTATATTTAATAAAATTTATAAATGATATTCTTTACAAAATGCTCAGGAAATGATATTATAAGTCCTTATAAATGAACTCAAATAGGGCTTTTAAATTCTACATATTGACCTCTGAAGCAATACAAACTTACTATTTAGATTCTTCAAGGGAGAGTTCAAAGCTCTGGAGTCACAGTTCCAGAGTTGCTTTTGTCCAGTTCAAGCAATTATTTATTCCATACCTCAGTTTCCTCATCTGTCAAACTGGTTGAAAATTATCATTCTACTTAACTCATATGGAGTTGGAATAAAGATTTAATGAGACAGGTAAAGAAAACATTTTTTACTTATTTTTATTTTCTAATAGCTTACCTCACTTTTAAAAAATATATTTCATTGATTTTTTTTTTTTTTTTTTTTTTTTTACAGAGAGAAAGGGAGACGGATAGAGAATTAGAAACATCAATGAGAGAGAATCATCGATCAGCTGCCTCCTGCATACCCCCTACTTGGGATGTGCCCGCAACCAAGGTACATGCCCTGGACCGGAATCGAACCTGGGACCCTTCAGTCCACAGTCTGACGCTCTATCTACTGAGCCCAACTGGTCAAAACAAGAAAACATTTTTTAAAAATAGCTGTACCATCTAAAGTAAAATGTTACAGTTGTTGACTTTAGACAGAAACATAAAGTAGCCTCCTGCATCTTGGAACAGAAGCTTATTCTTGGCTACTGATCTTTAGTCACACCATCAGAAGATATGATTGAGCTTGCTTATTTCTCAGTTATACTCATTAGCTGAATTAATGATGACTCTCAAATTCTGTACATTAGCTTCCATTTCATTTTGCATTTTCACAGAACCCACCTATAAGATTCATAACACTAATTTCTAAAATCTCAAACAACAAATTAGCCATTTAAAAATAAAACATATGACAAAAAAACACCTGGAACTAATAAGCCATTATAGCAAGGTTGCAGAATACAAGAATAATATACCAAAGTCAATTGCTTTTCTATGTACCAACAATGAACAAGTGGAATTTAAAATTAAAAACACAATACCATTTACATAGGACTCAAAAAAAATGCTTAGGTATAGATCTAACAAAATATGTACAAGAGTTATATGAGAAAACTACAAAACTCTGATGAATGAAATCAAGGAACTGAATAAATGGAGAGAGATTCCACATTCATGGATACGAAGACTCAATGATGTCAAGATACGAAAACTCAATAATGTCAAGATGTCAGTTCATCACAGCATGTTCTATAGATTCATTGCAATGCCAATAAAAATCCCAGCAAATTATTTTGTGGACATTGACAAACTGATTCTAAAGTTTATACGAAGAGGCCAAAGATCCAGAATAGCTACACAATATTGAAGAATAAAGTAGGACTGACACTACAAAGCTCAGTAATCAAGACAATTGGTATTAGCAAAAGACTAGACAAACCAATCAAAGAAACAGAATAGAGAGCCCAGAAACAGGCTCACATAAATATAGTCAACTTCTCTTTGATAAAGAAGGAAATGAAGTACAATGGAGAAATTTATTTTCAACAAATGGTCTTGGAACAACTGGACATCCATCCACATGTAAGAAAAGGAATCCAGACACAGACCTTACACCCTGCACAAACATTAACTCAAAATAAATAAAAAACGTAAATGCAAAATTCAAAACTAGCAGATAATGTAGGAGAAAACCTAGATGGCCTTAGGTATGGCAATGACTTTTTAGATACAACACCAAAGGCACCATCTAAGAAGATAATTGGTAAGCTGGACTTCATTAAAATTAAAAACTTCTGCTGTGCAAAAGACATTGTCAAAGGAGTGAGAAAACTCACTGCAACAGACACATCTGATAAAGGACTTTTAAATTTCTGTCAATCAAATGGGTATGAAGCAGTATTTTACTATGCTCCCGATTGGCAATTCTCTGCTTATAGATGGTGATAAGCATCTCTTCATATTACCTTTACTTTCTTTTTTTGCCAATTTTTCTTTGGTTTATTTTTATTTTTATCTATCAGCAAAAACTGGAAAACAAAAAGTAAACAAGTCTTGAATGTTGGCTGCCCAGCTGTGTAGGGCTGGCCTGAGGCATAAGCAAGCCTTGGATGGCTGCACTGTTTTATTTCCAAAAATTTTCGTCCATCTCTATAAAACCCTAATATGCAAAGTGACTGATCAACGGAACAACCTACAGAATGACCAGTCCATGGGGGCGGGGCTGGCGAGTGGGCAGTGCCAGGCCAGCCAAGGTGGATGCCAACGGGGCTCCCTGATTGCCCTACCAGTCACCACCCGACAGATTGGCTCTGATCGTTGGCCAGCCCTGATTCTGACACATAACTGTGTGACAAAGCCAATTACTGAACTTCTCTTTGCTTCAGTTTTTCCACTCATGTGTTTCATTCCCTTGACTTTATAAACTTCCTATGTTCTTAAAATATACCAGCTTTATATGATTTTGACCTTCCATAAATGGTATCAGACTATATATTCTCCTGCAACTTGCTCTTTTCATACACTGTATTTATGAAAGTTATATGTGTTAATGCATGTGTTCATATATTCCTACTAGCTATATAGTAGTCCACTAAATGATTATACCACAATTTATTTATCCACTTCCTTGTTAATGAACAAGGTTTATTCCCAGATTTTCAGTATTATAATGAAGAGTATTGAGAACATTCTTAATCTCCACCCCTGCACAAATGGGTTTTTCTAGAGTTGTTATCCTTATTTTTGCTGGTAACCAACTTCATTTTCATAGATTATTTAATTATATTTTTATGGCTGGAAAATAGTTGGAAGAAACCTTCAAAAGTAAAGATCCAGCTCTTCTAGATTTACAAATGAGAAATCCAAGGCAAAAAGATTTATATGCAGATCTGGAAGATCTGACAATCACTGTGTTTGGTTATGAGTATACAAAGATGCTATAAGTATTCAGAGATGCAGCTTTTCTTTTCTTCAAGGATCATAGACCAGTCAGTTGGTGTCTATGTTCTAACATCTGGCTATGAAATGATAGGCTTTGAAATTAAGGTCCACCCACTCTATCCCAAATTGCAGAGCTATTTAAAAATGTTTTTCGACATATCAATCTGTTATTTAATTTAGACTTCTACACAAAGTCTTCTTTCCCTCAGCAAACTCACCTCTCCTAACACATAATCTCTGTGATATCTTCCCAAAGTGCGCCCAACCCCCAGCAGGGTGAGGTTCCTACTCATAGGTAGCAAGTTCTTGAACAACATCTACTATTACATTTTTTATAGTTTTCTCCTCAGTGGACTAGAAACCCTTTGAAGGCAGGGATGAGGCCATGTTCATCTCAGCATCCTAAATGCAGAAGCTGATGTCTTTAACTTCAGGTCAGACAGGAAGCAGACGTACTTGCACACCACACATCTGAATAAGTGAATGGATGTTGAAAACACAGAGCTAGAGAATTTGATGACATCAAGCAAGATAGAATCAGTTAATTAAACACTGTAGTATGACTTTTATGATATAGTTTTGAAAGCCCTTTGGATCAGTCAAATTTTCCTCAATCTATGTAATCTTCACTGGCCCTATGTTATCAATTTACTTCATTTTCTGATTGTCAACCTTAGATTATCCTTTAATCTATACTAAAAATGCAGAGGCCTATCTATGCAACATGCAATTTTCTAAAAACAAAACAAAACAAAAAAACTCTAATAAAAGGCATGACAGGGACTTCATTTTCCCCCAAAGTACAGAGTGTAAATTGTATACCAAGAATAGTATAAACTCACAGAAGTTGTGTGCATTACCGAGATCACCAAACAGAATTTTATGACATTTCAACTACCAACAAAGCCTCAATTTATATCAATAAGAGTTCTCCCCAAGTATCAACAAACTTAATTCCTTTATCAAAAGGTAACAGAATAGTACAAGACCATTCAGTGATTACTCTATAAAGCCAGAGAGGGAAGGACAAAATTCTGGATTATGTCACAGATGTGTGTATATGTGTTGTGTGTGTGTATTTATTTATATCACATCTAACCTCTCTAAGACACCCCCCCCCCTTTTTTTTTTTTTAGTTTGCTGACTCTCTGGGTTGGAAAGAACAGCAAAAATCATCTGGCAACCAGAAGTGAATGCAAGATTCCAGATGTATTATGAAAAGCACCAACGTTTTGCATTAAGACCCCCTCTCCTCCTCCCCCCGCGCGTGTTCCCCTTTGCTCAGTCATTACCTACTGCTATACATTCAGCACAATTCTAAAATGGTGAGTGACCCTCCTCCTTCCTTTACAATCCAACCCTGGACCTACACCACAACCTTCCTATGTGAGCCCGCCAGGCTATAGGTTCAGCCCCCTCTCCCAGGGCCCAATCCTTTTCCAGGAAAAAAAACAAACCCTGCAATGGATCTTTTCTAAAAGGAGATCCCAGGCCCCTGAGCATCCACTTCCGGCGCCCCTCAATTGTCTTCCCATTTACAGATCCATCCTCCAACATAAACACTTTATCCTTTTCCCCGCCCCCTTCCCCTCAAAAGCAGCAGCCCCGCCCCTTCTCCTAACAGACCCAAGATTTCAATCTTCGCGGGCACGTCCCATTACCTTTACTCTGCTTTAGTCGCCTCAGTTCCTCCTCAGAGAAGCCAGCCCAGCCCTGCGCCATCCGTCCGGGCGGCCAGCACCCCTAGAATACCCAAACTTGAGAGTCCCCGAGTGCCAACTCGGACTACTCAGGCACATCCGGGTTCTTCCCGGCAGCGGTCGATCAACCAATCGGTGCTTCGCGCTTTGGACCCAAGGCCTCCCCTTTCCGTCTAAGGCTGCCCGCAGCAGTGCCTGTCAAACTGCCTAAGGAAATATCGCTTACGAAGACATTCCTTTTCCCCGAGCCGACTCTCTTCTCACTCCCGTCTCTTATCATCGTTGAGTTAATAACTTCAACAGATAAGGGGACAAATATCAAAGAGGATCAGGGTGAATATAAGCAGGCAGTTAGGAAGCGGCCACGAGTCGGTGGCGCGTGAGGGCGGACAAAACTACCTGGGGGCGGGGGAGAGGGGTCCTCTTTCGTTCCCTGGGGCGGAGCCCTCTACCTAGTGGTCTCGAGGTGTGTGCTCTGTGGGTTGTCCTACGGGCTCCTCTCAAAACGGCGCTGAAATTGCCCTGCAAGTTGGCTCGAGAGAATGTTCAGACTTAGGTGTTTAATTACGAAGGTACATTTCAGAGAACTGGGGTTCAATTAGCGGAAAGGGAGCAGAGACATTTAATCAGGTCTCTGTAGTGTCTCCGAGTTCTGTTGACTGGGTTGTGTCCTTGATGTTTTATGAATATAAAATGCTATTCTGCGACCTTTCTCCTAAGAGATGTCTACATCTCCCCCATTAAAAATGGTCTCCGTTTTTGTGGTTCGACAAGCCAATGGAAAACGGCCCCGTAGGATGGGCAAACCATTCCTTAGGCTTCCCCGGCCGGACGTCCCGCTTTCACTGTTCTGGTTCTACCTTGGACACTTACCCTCTCCGGGCTCTCGTATTCTCATTTTTAGTAACATTTTGAAGATTAAAAGATGCAAGCGTTGTAAAAAAAAAAAAAAAAAAAAAAACCAACAACAACAAAACACACACACACACACACACACACACACACACACAAAAAAAACTAATAGGGTGATTAGAGGCCAGTTATTACACTTTTAATATTTCTCTTATATTTAGCATTAAAAAATGTTTATTTTGGCAAACGTTTTAAGATGTCAAATGTAAGCCAAAGGGACTTTCGACACTAATGTGTCAATATTTCGAGACAAATGGAAATAAAGGAGTAGATTGAAACTACCACACAAAGAAAAAGGGTTGAAATAAGTATTTCACGTTTAGATAAGTGGTCAGAAGGGAAATGAATTTCCTTTATAAATGTTGAGCTTTTAAATTTAAAAGTGGTTTCTGAAATGTAGGTGCACAAGCGCTTCTTTTTAAATGTGGACTCATTTCCTCCAAATTTTAAGATTTTTAATGCCACCCAACAGGATTGGAGGAGACATTAATCCATTTTTTTTAAATGTCAACTAAATACGTTGATGTAAGATACAGATTAGCTTCAAATAGATGGGGATCAGTAGCAGTCTGGTAGTTAGTTCAGACTGCCCCTTTATAGATTCCAGCCGTCAAATTCATCTAATAAAAATGAATCACGTTGTGTGCCCCATGTTACATTTATACATGAACTTTCTTTAGCTCAAGGGGTGAATTTCCAGAATTATCAGTAATCTTACTAGACATGGATATTATCGTATTTTTAAAGGTTTTGTTAGCCCTGAATGAGAACAAAGGCATGAGCAAGATTATAGTAAAAGATAACATTTGTGTAAAATTGTAATTTGTAGTTTACACGGCTCTAAGTCTGTTGGCTCTCGGGGGGAACAGGTTTCTTCAAATGGTGTACTATAATATTTTGTTGGGAGATTCAACTCAAAGAAGTTCTTTGTTCTGTGAGAGTTTTCTGTACCTTGAGTTGAGACATTGTCACTACAGGTTGGTTTTCCTGGGCTCTGGAAATTTCAGTTGCTTTCAGCCACATTTAAGGTCATTTTTTTCAACTTGTGATATACATTTGGATGTCACCCCCTTATATGATATAGGCCTCAGGTGTTAGTTGTGCAAACTTGCCTAGCTTGCTAGTTATACAGCTAGGACTCAGACTCAGGCAGTATAACTCTAGAATCTAAGATCTTAACTATCCTGCCATTCTGATTTTATAGTATTCCTCTAGCAAACATTCCATTAAGTTCTATAGCTCATACGAGCAGAGTGTGAATGACTGACAGTTCTTAACTTTACACCTGTTTTTACATTTTTAAAAGATTATGCCTTCTCATCCAGTGGAATCTTTTGTAAGTGAAATATTGTGTATTCTGACAAAGAGAAATGAGAAGTATTCATTTTTCTGTGTCCACAGGTTATGCATATATACATATAAGTTCATATGTATGCTGATCTCTTCCCACCCATCCTCCCCTGCCTTCCCTCTGAGGTTCAACAGTATGTTCATGCTTCTGGATCTGCTTTTGTACATCCATTTATTTGGTTAATTAGATTCCAAATGAGTGAAATCATGTGATACTTATCTTTCTCTGATTGGCTTATTTCACATCATAATGCTCTCCAGGTCCATCCATGCTGTTGCAAATGGTAAGAGTTCTTTCTTTTTTTATTGGCACATAGTATTTCATTGTATACCTCAGCCTATGTGCTGTTTCTAAATTTTAGTTATTGTAAATTGTGCTGCTATGAACATAAGGGATGTGTATATTCTTTCTGATGTTTCAGGTTTCTTAGGGTATATTCCTAGAATTGGGATCATTGGGTTAATTGGGAGTTCCATTTTTTTATTTTTTGAGGAAACTCCATACTGTTTTCCATAATGGCTGCACCAGTCTGCATTCCCACCAGCAATGCATTAGGGTTCCCTTTTGTCTACAACCTTGCCAACACTTGTTGTTTGTTGATGAGAGCCATTCTGATATCTCATTGTTGTTTTGACCTGCATCTATCAGATGATTAGTGACTTTGAGCATTTTTTTCATGTCTCTTGGCTTTCTGTATGTCCACATTGGATGTCCTTTGCCCATTTCTTAATTGGATTGTCTTCCTTTTGTTAAGCTGTATGAGTTCCCTATATATTTTCGAGATTAACCCCTTATCAGGTGGATCATTGGCAAATATCTTCTCCCTTGTAGTGTGCTCTCATTATTTTGTTAATAGTTTCTTTGGCGTGGAGAAGCATTTTATTTTCATGTAGTTTCATTTGTTTATGTTTTCCTTAGTTTCTATTGTCCTAAGAGGTATAGGTAAACACATTGCTATTAGAGATGTTTGAGATTATGGTGCCTATGGTTTCTAGGACTTTCATGGCTTCATATCTTACATATAAGACTTTTATCCATTTTGAGTTTATTCTTGTATATGGTGTAAGTTGATGGTCTAGTTTTTTGTTTTTTGTTTTGTTTTTTTTTTGTGTGTGTGTGTGTTTTTTCCGTATCCAATTTTCTCAACGATATCTATTGAAGAAACTATCTCTGCTCCATTGTATGCTTTTGCCTCCTTTCTCAAATATTAATTGAGCATAATGGCTTGAGCTGATTTTTTGGTTCTCTGTTCTGTTCCATTGACCTATATGAAGAGGTAATTCCTTTTTAATTGTCTTAGTATCGAAAGCATTTTTAAAAAAAGGAAAATGCATTAAAAGCATTAACTAGAACTGCTCAGCAAAATACCTCTCCTGTTTAACAGTTTCCACCAGTCCTCAGTTTAATTACCATGTTATTCTGCCAGCTTTCTCCAGAAATAATTGACTGGATGAAGTCATTTCATTGGATATTTACAAACACTAGACTTGTAAAGGGGGTTTCTGTCAATTCCCCTTTGGCTTGGAAATGACTGAGGCTGAATTGGCAGTGCACAACTGCTATTTTGGGCTTAGCATATTTTCACAGGCACCAACTCAGGAAGATGATGGGAATGAAACAGAGGAAGGTAAAATGTTTGGCCTTTATAATCAGTCGTATTGTAATTTTGGCTGTAAGTTTATTTGAAAAATGAGAAAGTAAAGTATTGACTTGGTCTAAGACACAGAGTGGTTGGATAGTGATTTCTCTGTGTGGCGGTTAGAATATCTTGTTCAATTATGAATAGTCTGGAATAAGTTTGCAAAGCTTTGAGTATCATTAGTCAGAGTTTAAACATTGGCTTATCAGTCATGGTAAAATGATTTAATATTCTGTAATAAAGTGTTTTTGTTTTGGATTAAATAAGATTTTATTTTGAAGGCATAATGTCAAAGTAGAGAGCAGACAAGATGAAGATTCGGCTGGGAATTATTTTATCTGAGGCAGCCTACAGGAAATTCTAAGAAAATATCATCAATATAAATGAAACTTTTAAAGAATTGAAGTGGAATGCCAAATTGCAGTACTGTAGATTCAAGTTTAAAGATGTCAGTTCCTACTTGTGGAAAAAAATTGATGCAGAAACTTCAGAAGTCTTCAGAAGAAATTCCAACTGTGCTAATATTTACAATGTGATGATTTCTGTGTGACTATTCATATACTTAAAATATTGAGAGGGGGGAGAGTAGAAGTAAGACTATTGGGTAAGGTGCTTGGTTTTTTGTTTGGTTGGTTTTTTTAAGAAAACAATGGTAGAGGCAATAACTGTTTTAAGAATAATAGAGGAATTCTACCAGTGAGATTGTAGAAGGTAATATAATTATGAAGAGTATACAAAGAGTCAATGTAGATTTAGTTCTTATTTAGATCTATAATTTAGCAAGCCAGGAGGATGATACCTATTTCTCAAAGGTGACCCCAGAGTAATCCAAAGTGAATTTTAATGTCATAACATCAGTAATTTAAGTTCAGCTATCTCAAGCACAGCTTATAAATTTGGTGAAAACCCATTGAGTCATTTTTATATGGTAACAGTAGGTTTTGCATGACATGAAGGCGACACCATCTTGGGGGGACTTCTTAAGAAGAAAGAATACAACACTGTAAATATAGGGAAGCCTCAAGCAAGTGGAAGGCCCTCAAACTTGAGTTTTTAATAGCTTCTAATTAACAAATTTTGTTTCATTTATACAGGACAAAAAGGTTCATGTAAATGAAGAGTGACTAGTATATCAATGTGGTGGTAAGAGGTGTGAATTGGGACTTAAGACCTGTGTTCTAGTCTAGGCTGATTCACACATATCATTGTCATTTACTAGAGCAGC